TATATACTACGACAAATTAAATAAAGCTCTGAAGACATAAATCTTAATGATATATACATGGGGCTGGCAAGATTTACTTTTTTCGAGAGCGTTGTTGCAGATAACGTGACCGTTTGTATGGTACTAGCAAATTTGGGCAAGATGTCATCGATGCTTTTATACAACTGCCTACTTGTACACATATCTGAGTGCTTCCCGACAAAGGTTCGCTCTTTGGCTTTGGGGACGTCCGCGATGTCATCGAGAATTGGCGCTATGGCGGCGCCATTCCTTAAGCAAATTGTACGTAACGCTAACCGAAGTACATTTGATGTTATTCGGTTAATTAAGTAAAGCCATATATGGAATACTAAGTAGATTGTGATCCTTTTTATTCGAGAATTAGCCGGAAGCGAGCAGCAGCAGTAGCAGCAGCAAAAATCTCCAATTAGTCATCCAAAATACAACTAGACAGTCGCGAAAAACCCCAAATTGAATGGAAACAGGCATTTTTAGATAGACTTGTTTTAGACATCTGCGTTTAGCCTTAAATTCGAGTACGCCTGCCGTCTATGGGGCAATAATTGCAAACGTTTGCTTGGACGATGCTATAAACTGGTGTACAAATACTATAAATCGATATCTTGGTGAATATTTCCTATAATAATCCAGATTTATCCGGTACGTTTCGAGGGAAAACTATATCGCCGTATAGAAACGAATAACGCTGAGACTTTTTCGGCCCTTTTTCTTATCTGCTATAATTAAATTTTTGCGAATATGTTTTTCCTACGTACTAGAGCTGCAGCTCTTTCATATGGCTTCGCTAAGGCAAATGTGCTTTAAAACGAATTGATATTATAGGCCATTTTCTAAGCTATTTAAAATTTTTGCGCCTTCATTTTTAGGGACTAATAACTGCAAGCTGGGTGCCAATCTGTCTAACAATCGGCATGTGCGCTGTCGCCATGTGCTTATCGTTTATTTTGCCAGAGACTTTCGGAGAGAAGTTGCCCGATACCTTTAATGAAACGAAGCAAACTATCAGGTCAGAATTTTAGAGCCTATGTCTTACATTGTTACTTATTTATGATTTATTACTGCTTAATAGATCTTCAACATGTTATACTTGCTTGACTCAGACGCTAAAAAACTGATCGATAGTTATACGTGAACCTTCAAAGGGATCAGGCAATGTGGGTAAAAATTAAAGCCAAAAAAAGATGCGCGATACATATGACTCGCATCATAGCTTGCACCAAAACATTTTATAGAAGGACATTGACTCAGCGACTGAGTCACCGATTGTCGCACGCGGCATGGCTAAGCCTACCGAAAAAAAGAATCCGTTTTATTTACTGGCCTACTTCATCGTTATTTTTTTCAACTAGCTTTTCATATCCACATTGCCTTGTTCTTTGTTTTTTTAGGTTAATTAGTTTATATATATATATATATATAATTACACTTTTTAACAATATTTTTTCCGTTTCACTGATGTAGGAAAACGTCCGAAAGCAGCAAGTCCTCTCCCTTAATCCCATGAAGTCACTTCATGTCTCTTCTATATTATACAACCAAACTAGCCAAAGCGCGCTGGTCATTTTCTTTATAGCTAATAATAAACGAAAGATTCGAAGTAAAATTTCATTATAGTTTTTTTTATTCAGCTTCTATTACTGAATACAAGGTTTTCGTTTTGTGCAGAGTATCGGTTGCTGATCTTTTATTAGTACTCTGTTGAAAGACAAAGCTTAATATCAATAGTAGAGCTTTAAAGAGTTTACCAATAGATATGTCAAGGAAATGGCTAACATACAAACTTTCCTAACCTAAGTATGTACCCTATTAGCGATTTATGTGCTAATAAACTTTGACTAAGAAACTGCCATTGGTTGCGAGACAAATCGGTAAACAAATATCGCTGTTTTTTAATTAACAGGCGCTTAATTTTATCTATTACCACAGACCAACATATAAGACAAACATCCGTAGGTTTCCAACCCACCCACCTGTTGACTCCACTGCCATTCGAAATTTCAGGCGCGTCCGCCCCTCCAACCGCTAACTGGTTGCAAGGAGCATTGCGACCTGTGACTGCAAATATAGGGGAAAAATGGGGGGGAAAGGGAGGACTTTCCGGTCTATAGGACGGGTTGGCCAATAGGCTGGCCTGTAAACAATTTTATTCCCAAAAATTGATTCTTATTTATTGCTTAAATCTCTCCACTAACACGTATAATAAAGAATAAGCAAAGGAATGGTAGATAAAAAGTTTGGAAGTTTCAGTGCAGATAGACGTTTGTCGCGTTTGGCCTTCTGGCTAGCAGTGCCCAACTCTTCTTTCCAAAGCCACTGTTCCTCTAGCTGCTAAAGAATCCTACAAATGTCCAAGCCTAACATAAAAAAAAATGCCTCATTTTTTTCCGTATCAATCAACGAGGCAAACACCGTATTAGGTATTTAGAATTAGCTAAAATAGTTGATTAAAGCACATAGAAAAATGCAAATTTTATGGGTGCGACAGTTAGACAACGCTGCTTGACGGCTAGCACTATCGCGGCAACAACCTATAAAACCTAGCGCGGGAGGAAAGTACAAGAATGCTGTAAAACCTTCCACCTGAACTCTTGCAAGGCGGTCCTGACCATTTTTGCGGCTGCGGCCGGCCTTATCGTGAAGAAGGCTTATTAGAGCATTCAGTATTGTATGAAACCTAGTCTCACTGCACACGGGTCGTGACTTCCTTAGAACAGGAGTCCTAATAGGTCTGGATTGACTTTTGCCGCTTGGCACCACATACTCTGTTGTATCATTTTATAGACACTTTGATCTGTCTCGTGTGGTAATTCTGTGCACATATCTGTTATTGTAAAAGCAGCTATAATAAGTCGATGTGACATAATCACGTAGGGAAAGCCAACTAAGTATGAATGGATTCCACTAAGTAAAGATGATAGGGAAAAGTATCGAAGCTACAGTCTGATTGACGGCCGTCTTTCTCTAAAATTGTCTTTCTCATCATCCACAAGCGGATACCTCGGAAGAAAACATTTAAAGGAAACTATAAAAGTGTACTTTTCTTCTGCCAAAAGCATTCATCGAAATCGTACGATTCACTTGCAAGCAAAAAGAGTTATAACGTTTTTTTTTTTTTATGTAAACACAGCGGATTCTAACGGAAAGTTGCACGAGTGTGGTCCGGAAAAGGCGAGGAACCTTTATTAATATTTTAAAGTTTAATATTATTGAACTTTTAGGCAGTTAAACGGCATGTATACGCGAAAATTTGTATAAAAGGAAGACGCTCAACAATGCTATACAGCTTTGCTTACATAGGTATGTTTATTATGTATACATAATAATTACAGTAGTGGTAATCACCACAACTGTTTATGTATGTGAGCGTGTGTGTTTGTGTGTAATCATAGTAACAGTGGCTATTAAAAGTTTAAACGTATGCATCTTTGTTTGACTCCATGAGAATTAAATTCATTTGAATTAAGTCCTCCTTGTTTTTAACTTTTTAATGCTTCTTCTTACACAGAATTTATCACGTTTGAGGCTTTTGTATTGATGTTTGATGCCACGGCGTGTCACGACAAAACAGCTAAGCCATCGATGTGTCTGTTTCGAATCGATGAGACAAAATCATTGCAGAATTCGGATACAATTGTAAAAATGGTGACCCTCATTTTGTAAACTGGCGACCCAGTTGTATGTTTTTCATTTTCTAATAGTTGCAATCCCAATGATTCCGATAGCAATCGCTGACCACATCAACCCTGTCAGACACGACAGTGGACGAGGCAAACGAACGTTTTGTGGAGATTTCGTCGCCGATCTCATATCGACATTTCTCGGTCTTCAACTTGGGCCTTATTTTCCGTTAATAATGTTGAGAAACGGTCAAGTTTGAAGATGACGGTGATGACTTTCCTCAGGTCGATCATTTCTCCACTGGGTTGCACGATCAGCGTAAAGACTTAGTGCGCGTATCATACATCCTGAAAAGCGGCTAGCAAAGTGCAATGCGTCAACAACAACTTTAAGGTAAAGCTCGACGAGCGCAAATACGACCGCCTTACGAACGAACGATTTGGGTGGCGAAAATCAAAACTAAGAACTTCTGTTCACAAAACTACCGAAGTCTAATTTGTTGACATTCATCTATCTCGACAATGTATCATAAGCTACCCATTTGATCTCGACACTCACGTAATCCATCTGCACAAAATACTGGCGATTATCGGCTTCGCCGGCCTGCGTTTGAAGACATAGAAACGCACTTCTGCGACAAGACCATAATATTATGGCCGTCGGAACTTCTTTAGATTTCGGAAAAGTCTTATGAACGAGATAAGAACCTTCAAGTGGCCTAGGGAATTCCTGGACATAACTTTCTGTTACCTGCGGTTGATGCGGGTTTTTGCGTAAATCACGAGCCCGTGGTGAAGGCGCAAAACAGGAATGCCGATCATAACTAGACCTATCGGCTGTTGTAGTCCAGGATCGTAAAGGAGCCTATTTCGTGGCATTTTCGGTTGGGTTTGGAAATAGGGTTACAAACGGACTACCGACAGGCTAGGTATCGTACTGCTTTAAATCAAAGGGCAGCCTGAGCAGTTGTCGCATAGGCTGATCGCCATTTGACTAGACCGAAACTCAATGCCACTCTTCCACGGCCGAAAGCTTAGGTATCGTATGTGGCGTTGACAAATTCCGACCGTATCTGTATGGGCGACACTTCTAGTCGTGACTGACAGCATTGCACTACCTGAAGGGGTAGGCTGACCCTTACGCTGCCTACTCTTTGGGAGTTACAACGTTGACAATAAAAAACGGACCCTTTGTCGCGTCTGACCGTGCCACTGATACGAAGCGACTCCTCAATATGGATGCAAAGGAATGATTTTTGTCTGTACAAGATAATCGCCGAATAGGAGGGAGTGGCTCACATCCCAGCATACGTAGTCAAAAGGATTTAGCGGATCGAACGAGAGGCAACGCGGGGCCACGTTCCATCGTCCCAGGTGCCATCTTATGCCGTTTAGCTGATGAGGCATATCGACATCCGAAAGGCGTCCTAACACGTTAAAACATTTTTCTCAGAGTCAGGCTTACGACGTGGAGCGAGTTCGAGAGGCGTTGGCCTGGTGTGAAATCTGCAAACGGCACTACCGAGATTAAGGAAAACTGACGCGTGCTATCCGGTGTTAGCGTCGGAGGCTCCCTTCAGGAAGGTGGCTTTAGATTTAATGAGTTCCTTGAATGTCCTAGGCTGTAAAGCTTGTCCCCTGTTTTATCTAGCCCATGCCGGTTAGATGCCAGGCGACGTCGGATGCCGTAATCCGAAAACCGGGAATTATGCAATGCCTCTTCGGGGGCTTGGGCGCTGTCTTAACAGAAAACGCCGCCTGCTTCACATCGTTGCAGGTCACAGACTGTAGGCTAAACCATGTTTGGCACATCAGAACAGCCGTCGAAGATCTACGATGCAAGCGGCTGGTCAAGCACATGATTCGCGACGAAAAATGGTAGGTCTTTTGATGACGGAAGAGCACAGCTCGTTCTAGAGGCTTTTGCGCTGGATATTGTTTTCATTTAGTACATTTAGCCTAAATAAGAGGTTCTTTGAATTGGTATTCGGCTACCATATTATAATGTTTTGACCGTTTTTTTTGGCAGTGGAGACGCCGGGAGGCGGGATGCTGCGAAACTGCGTTGAAGCGTGTAGCTACAATTCCGGGTTCATGAAAGAACGATTCGTGGGTAACGAAGGACAGTACGAAGGTAACACAAAAAGTCAAACATGCAACGCCAGGGCTTCCCAAGAAGTTGAAGCTGCATCTGAGTGGGTCGTTTACTATCGCGAATAGAGTGGCCCCACACTGATACAGACTACCACGGATTATAGCCGGCAGCTTTCTAAACGAAACAGATATTGGGCAGCGAAATATACCTCGGTATCGCGGCCACAAACCGTAATATTATAATTACTAGATAACTACAGCTCAAATCTGTATATAAGGGGCTGTGTGAGACCTAATTGCACTTCAGCAGTAGCAGCTTTGTTATTCATGACAATATACGTATTTGTATATAAAGTTCAATTGGCTTCGTGCCTATCCGAATGTTAAATTCGGCAACACTAAATGATTCATAAAATATAGAGGAATTTTGTTTTGAGGAAACTTCAGGTTATATTACGTGGCTATATACAGTTACATGTAGCGTTTCTTAGAACGACTCCCTAATCTAATACTCTTTCAAATACATTTATAATAGGTTTAACTTAAACTACGCAAAAAAAAAACAAAAGTTATGTAGCCCTTCATGAGAACTACAGAATCTAACCGGTTCAAGAAAAAGTTAAGTTTAAGTCTATAAACATATTATTATAACGTAAAGTAAAAAGGAAGTGTATTAAGGCAATGACTTATACCTAGCTTCAGCTTCTATGGAAATGGCCTAACTTTCATTTACGTCCTCGTTCCTATTACAAAATCTAGGCGGTATTGGGTTATGAGCAATATTATATTGTTAGACAGAACTGCAAGAACAAGTATCATCTTTTCATGTTTACATTTTTTTAAATATTCAAAATCTATTATCAGGTTTTGGTACTAAGATATTGGCGAATTTGTATTCGAAGCCGCCGATGCGTCCGTGCTTGTGCACCAACTACTTCTGTCAGGTGATTACGAAATGTTTTAAAAGTAACGCTTATGCAGCTCAGGGATCAGCAAGAACAAGCATTTAGGTAGAAATATACTGATCTCGTCAATTCGCTATACTGTAAAGAATAATGAGCGACTCGAGAATTCAATGTGGTGCAGGTGTGAATCTCTTGGTCTCTAGCCTACGAGATCTTGGCGGTGAGTTCCTGATGTTCCCTGATAAGCTTATCAAGCCACTGACGAGAATGCTCGAGCGATATCGGGAGGTTTGGTAGAGGTCTCTTGAAGACAAGAACCCCGATGAGATAATGGCCGACTCCCGAAAGTAGCAAGACCGTCACAGCGATCCAGCCTGAGTAATGAAGCATAATACCCAACACCAGAAAACCCAAAACCACCTGCAGCAGATGCAGAAACGTCTGTAGCAGGTGAAACCGCACCCTGAAATGCGACGAACAAGATACGTCAGAGAATTGTAAATGTCGACTATGTTAGTCTTTATGAACTCGGAAGTGTTACCATTATAGTTATTGCTTTAGATGTGAGATTTCTGGGTAGCTGCAAACAAGAAATCCAAAAATGTGATGGCGTTATTGAATCATAATTGTGTGGAAGCTACAACAAGATATATAACGGGATGTACAAAAAAGGTAGGTTTCTATAAAGAAAAGTTCGCCTTATCATTTTCAAAAATCTACTTTGTCCTGATCTAAAATGGTCAACACTCTGTTGCTGGAGCTTGTTACAGGTTTGTCTTATTAAATAAGTGGACACGTAACATATAAGAATAGTGGTTAAAGTAGGCTAGAAACGGACTATTTATGATTTTTGTTTTGACGTTTCTTTTGTAAGACCGTTCTTGCGAACGGCAGTAATTCCGTATCAAGGATCAGTTTGGAAAAGCTATACTGACGTTGAGATAAGCCTGAAATGCCTGAAGATCCCTTACCTGTACCAGATTTTGTCGACATTGATTTGGTGCCTTCCAGATAAAAGGACAAGATTTGTGCGCTGCTTTTCTACCGCGGAGTTGCTGCAAGTTTCGAGTTTACAGCGTCGAGTTCGAACGTAAACGCTCTCTGCAGTCCTCTGCCGGACCTCTCGATGATATTGGCGTGAAGCAATGATGTATTCGTAAAGAGCACTAAATGCAGCTACGCCCAAACACAAGCAAGTCATGCCTAAATCATCCAAATCGACATTAAATTGCCAAAAACAATTTATTATATATTTACATCATTACATGGCCCGCAGCATCGAAGACTCATGTCTACTGTTCTTTCGTACACTTTGTATGCTATTCGTAGATGACAAATAACTCTATGAAAATCGGTAGCCCTACAGTGGTTCGCATACCGGGAACGAGGTTCTCTATAAGATACATTCGTCTCGCAAACCTTATTTTTTATATGACTCTCTACATTGACTTTATTCAGTACGTAAAAACATATAACGCATTGTGTAAATGATGAATTGTACATGATTATTGGAATGGAAAAGCTGATTCTGTAGTATAAGCACGCATCTTTGAAGTAATAATATTTCAAACGACCCACTTTGCTGATGGTCGAAAATCCAATCGTTGCTCATGCAGAAAACTTTTTATGTTTACTGATATCGAAACATCAACCGTTTACTAAATTCGAAGACTGTAAAAGCTAATTACGTTATTCAATCTTTTGATGTTTCTCTCAAGGGATGAGGGAGTCTTATAACGATCAGCCTGACTACTATGCATTTTTACTAAACGTGCAACATAATCGGGGTTACAAGGTTATACATTAACTTACGTTGAAGTGAAGTCTACCGAAAGTAGTATCAAGAAGAGGTAAGCCTTAAAATTGAAGAAACATGTTTTATTACAAAATGTATAGAATAAGCACAGTTGTGTGATTACGGTGAACAAACTGTGGCTTATGGATTCTCCGTCAGCAAAAACTCTTGCTATTGCAGATATGATGAAGAACTACGGAAGTTAAGACGAAATCAAGAACGTTTTTATTATACATTATTGTAAAAAACGTCTAGATCTAATGCAGCAGTAAAAAGGCTTCAGCTCTTCAAAGATTTTGATGCTACTAACCAACAACAGATGATAACGTGATTCCCTTTGACAATTGTTGAAAATGGTTCGTCAGATGCTGGACATCGAACTGTAGCTGCCATGACGGCCACCCGTTCCACGTCGATTCCGGCCTGAGAGGGTCATTGGGTCTGGTGCCTTCCACTACGCCCGCTGCAACAGCAGGCCAACAGTTAGCCAAGGGCAACATCTGCAAAGCAATTAAATGAAAGTGTTGTGTAAGCCGTCATATGATAGTAATAAAAATAATATATTTATGAATACGTAGGAAACGCTTTTGTATTGGAAGAACAGTGAACGGAAAAGGTATCACTTTGCATTTTATCATTGTAGTAGAGAAAATAGAGATAAATCGATTAAATGCAAAGGACGGAAAAATGCAAGAGCTCATGGCGGGCGTTGCAACGACGCGAAAGTCCAGACACAGTAATTACAACACGTCTGTCTGTTGCTGGATGTATATTGCAAGTGAAATTAGTAACTTTATAATGATGGGAACTGGATGACGAACGTGAAGTTAGCAAATGTTTTTCATGTATATATATTACTTACGTTTTGAAGCACCGTTCTCAGGCACTATATATATATATATATACACCATGTATATTAGGGTAATTTTTTGATGGGCTTCTTGTCGTGAGGTAAATGACCAATTCGTCGGGGCGACGTTTTCGCGATCTGAGAAATAAATAAGCCTTTATCTAATCTTTTCATGCTGTATAGACATTGATCAGGATGGAAAATTTTTTTGCTTACCTGCAACCGACGATTCACTTTATTTATTGTAATTTTTCATGCGGCTTTTGAAAAAAAGATGACCACAAGTGTCTCAATAGATTTTAGATGAAAACGATTTAAATATCTATGAAAATTATTGAAAAATTGTCCAAATATACTCTAAGGGTTTTTTGAGATTGTCTTAAATATGTTTTCTTTTTACACTTTTTGAATATTTTAGTCGCGTTCAGTCCTTGCAGTTGAGGAACTTTCAACCTATTATCAGCCTTAAGTTTTAACCCTACTAGAATTTTCTGTGTGAAGTTTATCTGAGAAACACTTGGATAAACTATACTTCTAAATATTGCTTGATGCATGGTTACAATTTGGAAGATATTTCCGGATTAAAGAAAGATTATTTTAAAGATGAATGAGTGATTTATGTTCCGAATTAAAGATGTCATCTGTATGAAAAATATTTATCTCGAATAGGAATGACTGTTAGCATATGGAAAAAAATAGTTGAAAAATTAATAAATTCGGTTCTAAAAACAACTCGTAAGAAAAATCTGGAATTCTTATATATATCCTAAAAAATGATATTTTTTTCACATATTGATAGACCATATCTAATGAGTTTGATACACATATTCAATCGATCTTCAATGAATGGATCTGAAAGAAAGATGATGTTCTATTTGTTTCATTTCTGTTGGTGTTGATAAAAAATCGAGGAACTACGCCTCCTACTACGCCAGGCATGTTATTTGGGCATACAGCGACCTTCATTAATAATCCAAACCCCCAGAAACGATGGGGAGACATTGGTCTCCTTTGTAATTTGGTCCAACAGCATCCATATCCAGCCTCCTGACTGAGTCATAGAATTGTGTTTCCCGTTTGAGCTACATACATTTCTATAACACTAACTAGCTTCCAATAAGACAAGACCGTTCAGACGAGCAAAATAATTTTTCATGGATATGGTACTATGTGTACGTATCAGTAAAATTACCTCGAACAAGTTTTTTTCTATAACACCTGAAATGTGCGGCATCGAGAAGGACCTGACGGAGGCAAGAGGTAGGGGAAGAACTGACGATAGGGCGGAAACACATTAGGACAATATCATTCGAAACGTACACAATACAAAAAGAAAAAGATAACTTTAATTGAGGAGCTACCCGTCTAAAAAAATCATTAATTTTTCCTAATTTTTATTTCCGAAGGTGGAGCTACATTTTCACCTGAATGTCGCCAACTACACAACAAAAATCATTCATAAGTGCCTAATGATCACCTATTCAATTTCGTGGAAGGAGCAACAGATGTTAGTATAGCTGAGTCGACGCTCTGTTTCCTCCTTCCGGACGAAGCTAAGGAATCAATTCATTACAATCGCATAATGTAAGACAAATTGTTTTGCCAAAACTACCGTTCGCTTCACCCGTTAGAAACCATTATCGGCTGTTGTAATGATCAATCGATATTAGATCTTCCCCCATAATCGGTCGGCACGCCTTTACGCGAACGCATACGATAATGGATTATTTGTGCCCAATGACAAGACTACTTACTGGCAATGATCGCTAACGACCGCGTGCCGACCCAGTTCGGACGAAGCAACAAGTTCAATAGCTAAGTTATTAACGTTCAACTTTGGCAGGTTTTATTATCATCGTTGTGGTACTATAGCCTCGTGAATAGACACTAGACTATCAAGCAGGTGATCAAGCAGGAATTTGATTCTTGAATGTTAACGCAGTCATACATATATGGATCGCCTTCATGGCGGAGGATCGTCACCGAACGAGGCTTCCACTTCATTTGATTTCATTCCTGTTTCCATCATTGTCATAGAACCGAATGACTGATGTTCACATGGCGTAGATTCCTCCAAAAATACAGCAGTAACATTTGTAAACGATCGCTCGCAGTTGAGCTCCAAATAGGTGTTCTTAAAAGAGATTACATTTTTTGAAACTAGCTCGATATATGTACCTTAGAACACATGCCTTCTCTAGCTCAGTTCAGTAGTATTAACTAACTTATACTGGTCCGCAGTCGGGTGATAGAGGGATTGATTCTGCAGCTGCATAGAGCAAGCTTTGAGCTAAACTCTGACAGATTTAACTGGCGTATTAAATAAATTAATAGGAAAAAGAAAACTTATTTCCAGAAATCTCATACTTATAAAGCGGGCGTATATGATTCATGTCGATGCAACCGCTAAATAGACGGAAAAAAAACACTTCGCTTACATGAAATATAAATATGTTGTTTTGTCAAAAAAAGATATTCGTCCTTTTGTAGAAAAAGCTGTTGATTATGGCAAAGAAGAAGGTAACTAAATCCGCCTGGCCGCGTTGCTTGCGTTTCCGGCAACGAATCTTCCTGGCCTTGAGAAGTTTATATGTGCAATTGGTGCAGCGATACGACACTGCAACGAAATAGGTTCAAGTTTTTAAGTTGCATGCCTACGATTACGAGAAACATTGAGGTAGCCAGCTCGTCCTTGAGTGACGCAGATGATAAATTAGGGCGTCACCCTAGAAAAATTAGCGAATACGGAAAGATAATATTTTGATCATATTAACGCTAATTACGAAGACGAGATAAATAATGAAGAGGCAAAAATTAACTTTATCTAGCGTATTTACGAAACCCAACGATTTGCCTGAAGACGTGTACAAGCATTAGTCGATACACGCGTTATTCGCGCGGATTCGAACGTAATAAATAATTTAGCGTATTTTTGGAAACAAAGTGAAAAACTACGCTAGATTTTTTATTTATTTGTTTCTCAATATATACACAGATATCCATCTCAAAATGTGCCTGTCCATCGAAAGTAATGCCATTGCATAGAACCTTATACGCCCCGGTCTAAAACGCTTTATATGTCCGCTGTCCGAAGAATCGCACTATTCCGTATTGTACTATGTCACTATGTTTAGATTATACCAATGGGTACACACGTTTGAAATGATCTACCCGGTTATAGAGCCCGACATAACTTTTATAAGCTCACATTTACTTTGCGGTACAAAACGGAAAACAAAGCTAGCGCTGCCAACATTCGGATAGATATACCTAATCGCAATGACGAATAGATACTGTTTATTGGGCACACCAGATGTTTATTGGGGTACCAGATCAGCTTGGCAAAAAATTTCGAGCCATAGCAGCAAAAACACAATGAATAAAAATAGAAATGCGGAAAATAACACTGTAACATAAATATGTAATTGGTAAATTCGCATGCTCGTATGGAAGCTAAAGATGTATCTGCATAAATTCACAAGTTTTGACATATATATATATATATAAAAAGATACTATCTTTGAAAGCTATGCCAAGTTTTAACTTATATATAAGGAAACTTGGGAGATATATATTCGAGATGACCAAACCTACCCTATTAATTCTGTGTAACGTAAAATACCTATTCATTGCCTTAGATGACAGAACTCAAAGCAGATATTATTTGTAAATATATTCATTTTTAGGTAATTTATAAATTTAATAGGTAACATTTCAATAATGCATTTACTAAGGAAATATTTTTAATTCAACTCATAGCAAATAGTCTGTAATCTTTTACTCGGCGAGGGTTTCTTTGCTGGTCAAATGGGGCGCTGTGAGGCAAAAAAGATGCCATAGGTTGCATGTATGTAATAGAGCCATACATATTAGGCGAATATTGAATGTCATTTTTTCTATTCACACAAATCATATTAGGTAAATTTTATCAGTCACTAGAATTTGAGTTTTTGGGTTTGATATTCTGTGATATATATGAAAATAGGTCAGCGTCCTCAAATATTGAGATCATGAAATGTTCTTTAACGTCAAAGGAACCGCTGCCTATCGTAAGTAGGCTTCTCTCGAATAAAGTTTCATAAAAAGCAATTCAGTTTGTTGGCCACTGGAGATGACTGTTTTTTTGTAGGCCAACTTGCACAATTTAAAGATGCTGCATTAAAGACTTTTTGCAGGAGTCCACGGCGTGATATTTGTGCCATTGTAGAATCGTGTTTCAGGAAATTTCTGCTAAGGCATACTTATTTCAAAAATGCTTCTCGTACAGACACCCCGTCTCGTCGTTACCCCACCTCGCGTTGCCTAACAACTAGGAAGCAACGTAAATGACTTCAAAGCTCTTTCGATTATTTTTGCTAGTACAGGAGGCATATTTAGGTAGTGCCAAACAAAGAAAAAAGTATAAAGGAAAGCGAAATTCTATTTGTATGATTGGTCACATAAGCTGACTGGGTTTTTAGAAGCTGGCGAATATATCGCGGCGTGATCTTGCACATTGTGACAGGATACACTGCCTCAAAAGCGTCCTAGCCCACTCGCAAGACAATCAGACGCGCAATCTTTTAACAGGAGAACGCTTGGGTACACATTGCATTGGCGACAGCACTGCACCAACATGTAATGCGGTCGCAGTGGCAATCTTTGGTGCATCCCCCATATATTCCTGGCCTCACGCGTCGATTATTGAATCTTCGCCTCGTGCCTCAACGGTCGGTGCCCTCGGAGATAGTTTTCATCACGAAGGACCAAAAACGCCGTACCCTAATTTTTGTACGTCTGCCGAAGCAGGACATTTTTTTTTTGAAAGGAGCCCACATAACGAAAGAAATAAATACATAATTTATAAGTCCATGTAAATGGTAATGTCAATAATAGGGTCAGAAGCAACAAAACAGTATCTGTTTGTGCATAATGCACTTCATTAACAAGTCTTACAAGACGATATGTTCTTTATTTGTATGTTCCGTGCGATATTACAACCGAGGCCCCTATAGTTCCATTGACTCGACGCCAGATCCGGATTTCGCAGAGCAACAGATAGTATGGTTATCAACGAATATTACAGAAAACGCTCTTGTTTATATATTGATGTTCATAGATATAATCAACAATCAATTTATTTCCTATATCTATTTAAAGATATTGAAGCGAAGCAACAAAAGACAAGCATGAAGGAATATCTGTTACCGAATGTGTATGAGATGGAATAGAAAAACGCTCGTAGTAAGTGGCGCTAACGTCAGCCACAGTCGGGCGCAAAAGAGAACAACTTGATGTCACCTTCGGACCGAACAAGCGTGAAGTTCACGCGAAACAAGCGATGTCGCTATTAACAAAAAAAAACTATTGGAAATGAACAGCAATGGTTTGACAGCCGCAGAAACAATAGCAAATTAATTGGCGAACAAGAGTTCCCATACGTTTGAATGTTCCTTCCAATCCTGATTTCCGTCAAAGTAAAAACCGAAAGTGTACGGACGTATGAGAATACGAATATGCTACCAGCTATTCTGTTTATTAACTGGTTGAGGCCGTATGAAGGGACGCCGGTCCATTATTATATACATTTGTTTAGAAGAATAGAGTGGCCGACTTAGGCTTTATGCATATATTGCAGACTTGCGCCACGGTTAAACTGGCGAGACAGCTCTCACAGAAATGTGACAAAAATATCACTTAACATAAATTGAACCTTATTAATGGCATGTCGCAAGTGTGCGCTATACACGTCATAATTACGGAAGGAGGAGGAGGAGGAGGAGGGGGGGAGGCTCAACTATTTTCATTAATTCATGACTGTCTCGCGCGGGTCGTCACGGCATTTAAGGCTCCTAGAAGCCGACAAACCGTCCATTTACATTATTTTTTGAGGTGGAAGTCTGTTCCTACTGAGACCTCGTACATTGTCTTAGCCATTCGGGACTATGCAAAGACTCGAGCACGCTCGACCGGTGTTCGACCTCTCGAGACAAGCGTGGTCCGTATTGATGTCACTTAAAATCGAGTTGTGTTGTTTTTCAGTCTTTTTACACTTGTAATCTACGATGCTCGCTTAAGGACGGCGAGCTCGCTGTCAGTTCTATCTCTCTCTTAATGGGCGCAGTCTGCACCTCTTTATTACCCATAGCCCAGAGCTCCAAGCATCAACTACTTCAGATTTCACGATGTACTAACTCGTCAAGAGCCAGCCAAAACATGTCATTGAAGAAGGGTTTTAAAAATGCCTCTGATATAAAATATCACGCCCGAACTAAATGTAATCTTTATTAAGCGAACACGAAGCAACAACGGAAGGACTACCCTGATGTAACGTATTGAGTAAAATTACCTACGGCTAGATAACCGGAAAATAATTTCCGTGCGTATTTCAGGCTGTCCAGTTTATGACTGTACTAGTAAGTGTGTAGTGAGAACGCGATCTTCCTTGATTAATTCAGTTTATAAAAGAAAAAAAGATAAGAAGCCAGTGAAAGGGTCTAACCTATCAGGCGAAAGCAGTTGACTGTCGTAGCAACGCAGTATAGCATAATTCAGCAAATGCTTGGGCATTTTCAAAGATGCACAGGCGAACGCAATTGCCTGAATTGTTGTATATA